CCCGCTGCTCAGCGTGTCACAGATTCGTGGAATGGTAAGGGTTGGAAGGGACCTTAGGGATCATCTAGTTGGCGTTACTGGCGGGAGGGTGGTCCGTGGGCTCTGTAAGAGCTCGTGTGACTTAGTGAGGAGGAAGTCAGGGCTGGATCTTAACCTTGAAAACCGATTTTCACCCAAAAGCTGTATGCTGCAGAGCAGGGGTCGCGTAGGTATCGTATGAAAATAGTACTTACCTCATTCTTTAATTAGTGCATTGTTCTAAACCGATAAACACTTGATATTTTAGAGACAGATCTTGTTAAATTTTAAATTAATTTTGTTTACTTGCTCTTATAATAGTGATCTTTTTTTCACCTCCCCCAGTTTAACTTCGTTGGAAGAATCCTTGGGCCCAGAGGACTAACAGCCAAACAGCTCGAGGCGGAAACAGGGTGTAAGATCATGGTCCGAGGGAAGGGCTCCATGAGGGACAAGAAGAAGGTAAGCTCTTGAAAGGCAGTGTGCTTTCAGATGCATGGTTTTATTTCCTAACGGAGGGTAAGCTCGTGTCTCTTACTCTTTCATTATCTAGTGTTTTTTGAGGTCTTAGTACGTAACACCACCTACGCTAGAGAAGGTAAATGTGCGTGCTCCGTAGTGGTGCAACTGGGAGTCTAACTAGCAGTTACAAAGTATTCTTCAGTAATAACCAACTTCTAATTGTGTCGTGTTTCACAAGGGAATGGTAAGAATTGAGGTTAAATGTGTTTTTCTAAGGTGGAGCTGTTAACCTCAAGGTGTTCGTCATAACTTTCTTGCATTGCAATACCAAAGTAGTGATCTGTGCAAGTAGCGTGGATTGGAAAAAGCGTTGAATGCGTTTCTGGGAGAGGATCGTGTCCGAGTGAACCAGGCAGCGCTGTGCAGCTGGGCTGCGGCTCTGGTGGAGCTGCAGTGGAGCTGGGGCTGTTCCCTGCCCTCTCCTGCAGTGTACACACTCTGCCCCTGTCAGCAGGGAAACTGCACTTCTCGGGATGAAACTGTCCTGAATCTCAAGTTGCTCTGGTAGTAACTCCTGGAAGGAATGTGTTTTTGCAGGTTTATTTTCTGGCTGTGTTCCTCCACCCCTGGTTACTGCTGCTGAAGTTGCACCGGCATCTCCACTGCAGTTTTGAAACGCGCGCCTAACAGTACTCCTGTCCTCTGTGTTCCCAGAAGGGGTCTCGTTTCTTTTGGTTCTTTCTTTAGAAAATCCCCTTTTCCTTATCTGATCAGCCACAGAATACGTATGTAGCACATAACAATTAAAAATGTCTACCCAGTTAAAAATATCAGACTTCCCAGAGCTTATGACTGTGTTGTTTTCAAACTGCATTTGATGCCTCTTGTTTTCATAATCTGCTGTAATACTGTCCCCACCCTTTGTCTCATTCTGCCTGTCACTTGCTGGAGGTTTAGATTGCCAGCTTTTGAGCAAAGACCTGTTCTGACTTACAGAGTTTTTGGTTGTCTAGGCTCTGTAGAGCAAGAGGGTGATACTGTCTTAAATGCTTGATTTATGAAGGTTTCTTTTTTGAAACATAGTTCACGTCCTGAATTCCTTCCATCCCTTGACTGAGGGGACATTTAACTTATAAACGAGTCCTACTGTTACAGGGTTTTAAACTGTAAATGGGTAAACAGAACTTGCAGAGGTGATGTTTTTGTACGGGATTTTGAAATACAGATTTCCTATAGCTGGGGGGTGGTAGGAGATGTTAAAATTCCAGCCTGCTTCACCCGACGTACCAGGTTGTGTGGGTGTCCATGCTGTACTGTGAAGCAAAGTGTGTGGTTGCCAGTATGCGAACAATCTTAATTACATAGCTTTGTTTGTGACTACTAATAGTAGTAAAATTTTTATATATTTCAATGTATTGCTTTTTTTAAAAAAATAGATGTCCTGGGGCAGGAGATTTAGTGAAAATACTGCCTCCCTTTAGGAGTTTGCAAACTTCACCTAGTTTTTATAAAACTATTCGATCTACTCTTCAAAGTACCACCATTTGGCTGGTAGGTTAATTAGATGTTCAGACTTCTGATTACATGTCTAACAAAGTAAATCTCCACTATGTGGAATATACGAAAATGTAGTTTGCAACAAATGAATTCTCAAACTACCAACTGCGCAGAGAAGTACTGATACCTTAAAGAAAGCGAGTACTTAAAAGTTCATTCTGCTTTTTCCAGTTTAAACATGGTTTTTAAAATACGTTGTATTTTTATCCATAATGCAATCCTTATCTTCATTCATGGGCAGAACTGAAGTTTGTCCCTGCTCCCTCCTTGTTTTAGGAATGGTAATTCTGGGGCAGGGTCGCTCCTTGGGAGTTAGGTTATGTAACTTTTTTCTGAGTAAAAATGCTAGTTCTGGTTCATTTGTGTTCCCAGATATCATAAACTAACACATTTAGGTGTCTGTTCTGCAGAAAGCTTGCAATTAGAGACTGAGACCCCAAGCTTGATGGTCCAGCAGTGACGTCTCGCCGTAAGTAGTGCGCGTGTGTACGTTGAAGATGGTCATTAACAGCGATGCGCTGGTGCATCCGCAGAAGCTGTGCGCAGTGGCTGCGCGGCGTGGGAGAGCACGTCTCCTGTGTCAGCAGGAGCAGTGCTCGCAGGCAGCCACGGCAGCGTGGGGAGAAGGACAGACCTGCCTCTGAGGAGACCCCTTCCCCTGGAAACGTCTCGTTTGCAGACCCTTGCGTAGAAAGCACTTAGAAGAGTTAAGGTTACTCGGATTTCTGGGAATTCCTTGCCCGCGTGTCGTGATCCCCCGCACTCCCTCTCGTTCGTAGTAGCCTGGCCAGAACCCGGAGTGGCCCGACGCGTTGCACGCCAGCTGTGGGAGCCGCTGTGACCGCGGTGCGCTGGTGCTGGAGCTGTGCCTTCTCTGCCACGACGTTGGTCGCAGCTGCCTGTTCCGCCCTCTCCGTTCAGCATTCCTGTGGGTCCTGGAGCCCGCGAGATGGCTGGTGCAGAGTCCCCGACCGGTGGGGGCTGGAGGGGGCGGCTGGAGGGTCTCTGGTCTCGCGCCCGTCCCCGGGCAGGGTTGCCTAGGGCCGTGTGCAGGTGGTGGCTGCGTGCGGTGCCCACGGGCTCCTCCTGCTGTGCTGCAGATCCTGTGCTCCCTGGCCAGCTGGGGCAGGCTCAGTGCCTGGGGAAGTGGTGCTTTCGGGCTGATTCACCCCACTCGCTCCACCTTTTCTTTTTTTCTGGTAGCTGTTCAAAGGAGAATAGGGAGCATCAGTTACTGGAGTTTTGTCTTTGAGAAAAAGCAGAGAGGAGCCGAGACCTTCGGAGTCACCTGGCTTTTTGAAGTTTAGTAGGAAAAGGAAAGCTGTCTTCAACAAGGTCAAGCTCTGTACGGCAGAGCAGCTAGAATTTCAGACACGTTAAAAGCCGCAGGCTGATCCAGTCAGCGCTTTAATGCCCATTACCTCTTCTGAGTTGTCTGTTGCCTGATCATTTTGGAGCACAGAGTACTTGACCATGGATGTTTTCATCAGGTGATACTGCAGTATGATAGTATAATATATTTGAATGCCAGATTGTATAATACTGGTTGTAAACTGGTATTGAGTACCAAATAATTTTCTTGATAAAATATATTGTCATTCAGTCCATTCCTAGTCTTTCTATAGCTCTTTTGCTCTCCTGAGGCAGTGGCCATCAGTCAGTAGTTTATTTCTTCAGAGTGGACTTTTTGTTGCTATAGCATTGTTGCTGCAGGAGGAAGAATTTCATAATCATTGATTATGATGCAGCTTGCGATGCATCCAAATAAGATGTTTCTTCTAAAAATAAAGATTTGGAAGTTGTAGTCAAGTCACGATGATCTCAGACCAAAGTGAGAACGAGTGACATTTATCAGTTTAGAGTAAGTACACTTCTCGTTGTTGGCTCTCGCCTCTTCTCCTGATGAATTAGCCTTAGGGGTGAGCTCCGTAATTAGCTGTAGGGGTGAGCTCCGTAATTAGCCTTAGGGGTGAAGTCCGTAGTCTTGCAGTACACGATGACCAACGTCCTTGACAGTCGGTGCCTTTGAAGAATAACCACCTTTTATTTTGTTTTTTCAAGGGGCTTCTCTCTTTGCAGGTTCTGCTTCAGACTGCTAATGTGCTTCAAACTGTAAAATACAGCAGTAATAGTATTCTGTCACGGAAGGTAAAGTTATGCTAATTGTTTTTTAAAAACTTTTCCTTTCATCTGGGGTCAACGTTATTTAGAAAAGTGAATATTGGGGATTTTGCCAGTTTTTTGACTGAACGACTTTGAAACTTGGATGAGATAAGAAATGCAGGTTAATTTGTATGTATATTTTGTAAGTGTATTTTGTATCTACAAACCTGATTGTCCAGTGGTAGTTATGAAAGAAACCTTACTGTATGTGGGAAGGAATTAATGACTAAACCAGTGACAACCTGTAGTGTGACAGCTATATAGTACTCAATCCCATCTCTTAGAGTAAACTGCCCATCTACTTTTCCCTTTCCACAGTGCTAGGGGTTGCAGAATCCGCAACAGAATACAAGGACTGCCATGCTGGAAAATAAAGCACCCGGGTTTGCTCTGTAGAAAACGTTGCTCTCCTGTGTGAGCCTGTGAGCAGAAGTAATGAATTGGAAATCTTTGTCACGTGGCGAAATCACTTAACTAGCATCAGATCTTGAAACGTGCTGGCAAATTCCCCCAGAAAGCAAGGGAAGTCCTCAACTGGTTTGTAGCTGAGGCTCAGCTGGTAATCAGAACATCTCTCTCGGCGGCTTTAGACAAATTTAAAATCAAAACCTTAATTACTGAGAGTATTGTGATTAGAGCCTGGAGGTACTTGAAGGAGACTGTTGGGGAGGGGAGAGGGGTGCCAGGCATTCATCAGAAGCTAATGAATGTGTAACTTTATTAAGACCAAGGCATTTTTTGCTTAGTCTGAATGCACCTCTCATTAGGCAGTGAGGAGAACTAGCAATTTTCACACCAATCAAACAATACTGCTTAAGAAAAGAGCAGGCTGTCCAGTGATGGACAGGCGAAACGCTGGGTTTTGTCCCCTCGCGAAGCCCGGGCTGCGCAGCCGGACGGCCGCAGGCTGCTGGCCTCTGCCAGTCTTGCTCAGGACACTGCTTTTTCCCATTGCTTCCTACGTTTAGTCAAGAGTCTCCACTAGAACAGTATGTGAGGAGAGGGCATCATTCATTTTTCCTGCACATTGTTATGACAGACAGACTTTTTTTTCTTAAAATTGCTGATTTCAAAGAGGAGGGCAGGCAGCTTTGCAGTTCGAAAGTGAAGAACTCAATAGCTTCGTCCAGTGCGACAGCTTCAAATCTGTTGTGCCTCGCTCCGTGTGGGAGCATTTGAACTGGTCAGGGGTTCCTGACCTACAGCTTGCTTGTTGACACGTCGCTGCTCACCTTGCAAGCAGAAATGGCGTAAGGTTTCACGAAAGACAGGCTTCGCTC